TTTTTTTTTTTTTTTTTTTTTCATCTTTCTGTCGGATATCGATCCGACAGCGTGTTTCATTAGCGTGTCGTTATTATTCGCGAAAAACTCGTCGGCGTTATTCGTTTCTGTCCGGCCGTGATCGAAAGGTTTTGATCAGGAGGTTTTGAATTAATCCTGACGTCGCGCCACGTTGTGAAAATTTGAAAAAAAAAAAAAAAAAAAAAAAAAAAAAAAGAAAGCACGAGACAGCTTTGAAGCCACTTGCTGCTGATTGATAGCACGACGGAAGAAGAAGAAACCTTAAATCAATCTGGCCACGTATCGGCGTGAAGAGCGAGGCAATCTTGTTCCGGTCTCGACGAATCGAACGTCGACGATGTAACACATCAACGAATCGTTTCGAAAGTGGAGGAACTCGTACAAAAGAAAACCTAACAAGCCCGATGTATCTTCTGATCAACGTCGAAGCGATCCTCGCTCCTTTCCACCCGAGTTTTGTTTCAAGGCGCAGGGCCTTTTCTCGTTTCTTCTTTCCTTCCCCCGGCAAAGAAGTCATTCGTTACCATTTCGAATCACCTTGTACTACAAAGGCATAAGTTTACGTGCCACGTACGTAATTGGTTCGACCCAGTTGCTAACAATCCCGAGAAGTACCGGGGCTGGCGCTAGCCCTGAGCAATTCCGGTTATTCTTTCTCGCGGATGGAAACGAAAGGAATGCGGTACACGACGAGATCCCTTTCTTCGGCTCTTCCTCTTCTTCCTTTCTTTTTTCTCCCCTCTTCTTCCTAAAAAAACAACTGGGTTAAGAGCAGCGACATTTTGACAGAGACGCGACAGCGATAAAACATTTCCCTGGACTTTCAATTCCATTTTCGAAGCAAAACGAAACGGATACCACGGCGTTGAACGTATTACATTTAAAATCATATTGCGACAGCCGAGGTGGTGGTCTTCATTCGTAAATTCCCTTGGGAGATAAAATTCTTGGCACACGAACAGGAGCAACACACTGCCTTGTTTCTTTAAAGATAGAACAATGATGCTGACTGGGTCTGACTGGGTGTACTACGCTTGGCATACGTACGTAAGATCGGGCTATAGTTAATTTTCCTTGAAAGGATTCGAATGGGAGCATGCGGAAGGAAACATTTTCCCCTAATCTCGGTAATGCCTACGCAGCAGCTTACACAGAGGCACGTACACATACACATACACATGCGCATGATTGTCGAAGGTTCGAGCCCGACGCGAATAAAACAAGGGGTGAGGCAAAGAGGTTTTAATCAGCGCCGAACTGTATGGCGAAGCGAGAAGAGAATGCACACAAGACGTGATTCTTGACGCGAGTTCGTGGAATTCGCTGGAAACGCATCGACGAGCGAGTGAAATGGACGAGTCTGATAAAAAGGTCTTCTAGTCCTTTTAGATCGAGACCCGGCGGCATTTATCTCGCGGCGAGATTAAAACAGTCCGAGAGAGTATTAGCGAGATCATTTTCGTGGAGCTGCTAGGAGAACCTGCCTTTATTTGCATCCTTCTTTTTCTCGTTTCTTCGTTCCAACGTAACTGAAATGGAATTAACCAATTAACATTCAGTTTCAAAGAACAATTTGTTATAATATTATTAATGTCACTTCTTTTATAGCGATGATGATAATATTATAATTATGTTTTATTATTAACTTGTTGAAGTTTCTTGTTGAAAAAATGATTCTTGTTGAAAAAATGATTCTTGTTGAAAAAATGATCAGTTTGTATAGATGACTCTGATATTAAAAAATAGAATTTAATTGAGGAGGACTGTAAATGACATTGATTCTTTACGAATCAATCACTAAGTTCAGATTTTCCTATGGTAGTGATTGAAGATAATAGAAAATAGCCGGCACGCTTTTGCGTAATGTCTTTTTTTTTTCGTTTTTATCGATCGATCGATGTGGAATCAATCTCCATCGCGCGACACGCGTAACACCGGCCTGTTATGCTAGAAACACCGGTGAAGCGAAAATCTTACGCTGCAATTTGCTAAATTTCGGCGAAATCGATTGCCGAATCGGCTATTAATCACTCGGAAAGTTCATCAGCGTGACAATATCGAAAACCATTTCATTTTCAATCTATCCACCGTCATCCATTACACGGCACACGGATGATTTAAAAAAAAACAAAAAAAGAAGCGCTTTCGTTTGGAATGATGAATTGCACAGATGCACGTCGTGATGAATGGCCCGGGTGAAATTCTTAATGAGAAGACAAGATCGAAATTCTTTTTCAACGGTTAATCAACGCGATTTGTTTCCCAGAATGTATCGTTCCTTGCTTCGTTCCTCCGTCTATCACAATCCCATTTGTCGCGCCGAAACGTTAATTTATTTTCGGACGAATCGATACATTCACCAGTTTATCTTTATACAACCCTTCGCCCGAAGGTTTATATTTAACCAGGGTACTTTTCTTTTGTTTCAGACGTGAACAGCAGCAACAGGTCAGCAGCGAATGGAGCAACCTGAAAGCGATTGGCCGAAATTTGTCTCTGCTGTATGTCAACAAATCCCTCGCGAGGCTTCATTCGGTAAGTGTCTGACAAACAGTTTTAATCAGTATTCGATGCCTTAACACGGCTCATCTTGCATCTGGTTTTGTTCACTTTGCAATCCTTGAAGCGAACTCGTGCTCGGCGCCATCGCGTCGTCGAACTGGGTTTTCAAACTATTAATCACACCGCGATAATTTCTTTTCTTCCAACCGGTGCGCAGAGAAATGATACCGCTCTGTCACACGGAATGCTTGGTCATGCTCGCGATGAAACGAAATTATTTTAAGCTCAATTTCCAGATTGTTTCGAGGTTTCGAAACTATGGGAAAAGAATTAAAAACGCGAGATTGTACGAAAGGCAAGATAAATCGTTGGAAAAATGTTGGACGATATCGTGCATCAAACGACCAATTAAGGCCAAGAGAAAAAAGGCGATAATCAGAAAACTTTAATAACGGTGTACATTAACGACGCGTATTAATCTCAGCTCTTCGTTAAACAACAAACGCTTCACAGTACTCGATGTTTTCGTTAATTAAAGTAATCACAGGGACGTCGTAACAACCTAACAACGACGTTGATAAATACCGTTCATCTTCTCTTTGCTTGACGAAGGTCTTCGTGAATTCGAAACTTTCTAATTAACACGCGAAGAATTTTCGCGTCGATTCCACGGCTGTGACACACACGAACGGCGAGATCGGCTTTGAAACGTTTGCCGTGGATTCACGTGCTTTGACCCTGATGGAACTCGACGAACAATTCTCGTTTTCGTGCAGAAGGGACCGCAAAAAAAAACTCCTCGCCAAGAGGCATCAACTCTCTTTCTCTCTGTGCTTTGGCCTTTGAGATCCGCGACCAAAGAGATACGCCTTTCTTCCGCGGGTCTGTCCTTTTATTAAGTAATCTTGAGCTGGCTTCGTCGTTGGCTGCTTATTATTCGCGATAACTGTGACTCGACGTGACAATTCGCGATCGCCAAGAGAGTCGAAACGCGGCAAAGGAGTATGTCGGTGGGGATTTCCTTTGAGCTTGTTGTTGCACAACGGGTGTAGCCAAGAAACGTACAGAGGCGAAGGATTTTTCCGAGCATGTTGGTAATGGCTTCCGCGAGCCTTCCTTTTCAAACGTTCTATCTCCGCGAAACGCGAAGGACACGAGGCAATCCTTGATATCTGTGGTGGTTTCTATTTCGTGCTCCTAATAATTTAGAAAACATCCCAACGACCTTGTCCTTTTCAGCTGTAGAAAACGCTCCTGCGAATACGAGATACCCTAATCTTCATCAACATCGTCCTCCCTTCTGAAAGCTTCTATTCACCCTCACCTTTGCGCGAGCAAAGCGCGAGCATCGTCGATTCTCGGTAACTCTTGATGAAATTGAAAACGAAATCTTCGTATAATGGCGGTAATAGCCTCTTTTGCCGCTCGGGGGAAATTAATCGCACTCTTAATTAGAGGAGAAGGCGCGTAATACCTATAAAGCTATCAAAGCGGAGGGATCGCTTACGTGTTTGCGATCCTCGGAGAAAAACTGCGCGTCGCGTGGAAAAAATGCAAGCGGAGTTTCGTAAACGGGTGGAATCTGACGTGTGACCACCAGGAACAAGGACATCGAATTTGGCCTCGAATTTGGCTCGGAATACGAGTCGCTCGTCTATTGTTTCGATCATGTTGACCCTCGTGTTCGCCTCTCCGGTCTAAAATCCGCGTTGATTTTTTTCTTTTTTTTTTTTTTTTCCTCCCCCCGCTCTGAATGATACTCCACCGGGTAAATACAGGCGGATCATTAAATTCGCCGAACGGGAAACACGATCGCGCGAAAAGCTCGCCTTGCAGAGAGGCGTTCGAGCGTCGCATTCATCCCTCTGCTTCTTTTCTCCCCCTCTCTTGTCCCGTTCTCCCCCTCTTTCTTTTTCTCTCTGTTTCCTTTTTTCAAGTGGAACCGACGAGAGATAGGTAGAAAGAACGGCGGACAATGAGAAACACAGATCGATGAAGAAATTAATGGGCGTTCTCCTTTAATACGAAATTCCCGTCTCCGTTTCACCTGACGCCTCTTGCTCGCGAGTCTCTCTGACAGCTTCCCACGGCCGGTCGAAAAGCACAGAAGCGTGGCTACATCGCCACATCGTGATTTCTTTTTTCTCTCTCTCTCTCTCTCTTCTCTTCACCTTCTCACTCTCTTTTTCATTCTCCGCTCTTTTCGTTTCTCCTCGTTTTCTTCGTCTCTTTTCTTTGCTTTTTTTCTTTTATCTCGGTCCACTCTTCTCTGTTTCATTCGTACTCGTTTCAACTCGAATCACATTTCCCCCCAGCAGAAACGATTCAATCTGCCCATCGTTCTGTGTTACTTATCGTAACGCTCGAATCGAACGGTGTTCTCGCGTCCATGAACGATAGAACGAGCAACATTTCGACAACCAGGCCGCCTACGAACGGGAGGAGAGAACCTGGCGGCGTTTCCGTCGGCGTTGCTCGTCGATTTAGCGCGAAATTTTTAATCAACCGCCAACACTCGGCGGTGGGCGACTCTCGGCAGAGATTTACGCGGGATCGATCCGTTCGACGAGCAAAGAACGGGAAGAAACACACAGCTGTTTCCACCGCGAATTATAGCGCGGCAAATTCACAGCTGCGAGTTTTCCGTTAAATCTAACGTTCCAGCCCGGGTTGAAATTGTTGCCACCGAGCAACCTTCGTACCACGAGTCGTGGGACATAAATTAAAATGAATTCACGCGGAATTGGTTACACCTCGTTTCACAATTGTGCAGGTTCAAAAAGGGAAGAAAATGGGGGGAGGAGGAAACGTTAGCTGGCAATGTAGGTCAGCCCAGTTCGTTGGATATGTTGGTATTTATTAAAGCCTATGAAAGAAAGGAAGAAAAGAGGAAATTGGATTGACTTTAAAGTTGGTCTCTTCGTTAGGATTATTCCGCGTATCGTGCGGCAGGGAAATTAATGAAAACAGAATAACTGTTCTGAAGCTTTCGTCTGGAAGTTTTAATGAACGGTTAATTCAGTGCCCGTCCGTCGGTGATTTTCCTTTTTTTATTTTTTTTTTTTTTTCTAAGCCGCTTGAGTTTTTAATTAAAAAATTCGTCCGAAATCGAATGCCGGTCAAAGTTAAACGAAGTTGCCCGTCCCCGTATCTTGATGAAATAAGTTCTTAACGCGAGATACGCGCAATATGTACGTGTACACGAGGGAAGGGAAAAAATGATTCGCAGGGGAGATACCTGAGGAAGTTTTATAACGGGCGAATATTTCTTCCCTCGAGATAGCGCGCGACGTTCGAAGATTGAAGAGACATCACGATTCTTCGATTTTGGACAGGGATCGAAGTGATTCCTTTTGGCGGTGCACAGTTGTATGAAATTCGCAGGAAATCTTAGAATGGAAAGTTACACAGATTAAATATAATACCTAAAAAATACAGTGGCACGAGATATATATTTCATTCAAATGGAACTATTACAAAATGATTTCAAGAGGTCCGAAAATGATCTTCACTTGAAATTGAAAAGTAAATTAATTTTTTAAGTAATTAAATTATTATTAAGTTATTGTGTTAAAATATTCAAAGTATCATACTTTCTATATCATTTCTTTTTTTGAATTATATTCTTAAAAATACGAATTGCATTCGATATTTCAGTTTTTTTACTGTTTCTTTTTTTTGGATCAATCAATTTTTTAAGTCACTATATTAAAATATCTAGTATCTATATCACCTTGTTTCAATTACATTCTTAAAAACATGAATTCTTCGAGTAATTCAGCGCGAAAGTTCAATCGACCAGCAGCATCTCCGACTTGCGATCGATCGCGACCGTGTAACTCTCTTTCACGACGTTTCGTAGAACTTAACGACTACATGTGTCGGACGTCGAGCCTGAAAAAAACAGTGCAAACAATGAAATGTCGGATGCAATTCGATTGCTTGATAAAATAACAGGCGAAATGTCGTCGTAAAACAACCTAGTTTATCCAAGTGTTGTCGTGCACTTTCGCTACGCGCATCTCCATTGGTTCCCATGTAAAATACTGGTTTATTTAAGTGCTTATCGGTTTAGCAAGTTTAAATGCTACACCAACTTTCGAGTCCAAAAATTTGAATATTGAAAGGCTACGTCGAGTAAATTACTCGCGTAAATAGATTAATATTCAATTTCGATTAGTTACATTAGTGACAACAGTTGAATAGAATATTATTTTCCGTGCATTACAGTATCACGTATGTAATAATAAAACATGCGGAGGATTTAATATCGTGCACACAATGGTTCATTCTAGTCTATGCATAACGGCATATACAACAAGAGAAATAAAATAAAAAAAAGAAAAAAGGAAGAGAGAAAAACGAGTAATCCTGAATAACACGTGATATTTAAATGTCCAAATCCTCAACTTTCATCACATCGACAAAATTTTCGAGTGGCCATTTTTTTTTTTTTCCGCCACTAACCTTGGAGTGCCCTTTTCGCTATACGCGCTATCGATTTTTTTCCCTCGCGAATTTCTGCTGACCTCCTCTCCAACCCGGATATACCAAATTTTTTTCATATAATCTCCTCTCTATATTTACCGGCTTTTTATTCTTCGTACAAGGTAATGCAAAAGTAGAGCAACGACGAGCTGCTTGGGTGTTTAAACAGGAAATCATTTATTATTTAATATTTGAAGGAAACTATAACACCCTCTGTTTAATATCCGAGACCGATAATTAGATCGCGGATTTTAATATCATTTCTATACCTTTGTGAACGTAATTAAACATACATGTTACACAATATTTTATATATTACACATTACATACATCGCGTGCATTTTTACACGATCCAATTTCCTATAAACGCCGTAAATTCACGGTCTAGCGAACGGAAGCGTTTAATCATTGGAAAAATGCATTGAGCTATGTCCAATTAAAATATTATTCAACAAACTCTTATACTAACGACTAAACACGTACAGCATTTATTAATTTTTGATATTGAAATTGAACAAAATTCCCTCAACGACGAAATAATTAATTCACTGGGGTCG